TGGACATTTTTTTTCATTATGGGATTGCTTAGAGAGTAGGTTTGTTGACATAGATTTGCTATGTAGTTGTTCACTGTCCTAAAATGTATAATAAAAGTTGTTATCAATTTTAATGAGCTTGTCCTTAGTTTGTATAAATGATCCAACTGACAGACCTGATCTAGATCCCAAAGTGACCTATTTCTGCCCAAGCTAAAGGCTAGTGATCAGATACAAAATCAAGTTAAAAATGTGTGTTCAGGCATTACTCAAGCTGACCCCCAAATCTTTCCTCTGTTTCTGTCAAACACGTCCCAGCATGTGGTTTTTTTTTTTCTACCTTGTTCTGGTAGTGAAAAACGGCTTGTAAAGTTCTTGCTGGGACAGCATCTGGGATCCCGAGTCCTACTGACGTGGGCACTCCCACAGAACTACATCTCTCCCTACACAATGTGTGGACAGGATCCTGTGAGTCAAGGCAGCTTTTTTTTGGGGGGGAAGAAATCAATATATGCATGTGGAGGGAGATTTTCAGAGCAGAGAAGGCAAACCCAAATAGGTAGTTATGAAAAAGGATTTTTGGCAGATTAACAGGTAATTTTATGTACTTGCAGTATTTTATTAATTTATTACAGGTATTTCTATAGTACCAACAATTTATGCAGTGCTTTACATTCTGTAAATTCACACCAGTCCTTGCCCCCCAAGGAGTCTACAATCTAAAGCAATGGTCTCCAAACGACGGCCCGGGGGCAGATGCAGCCCTTTGCATGCTTCTACCTGGCCCTAGGGGCACTATGTTATCCACTGATACCAATAATGGGGCATAATTCCGCCCCCACTGACACCAATGATGAGGCACAGTTCCTCCCAATGACACCAATGATGGGGCACAGTTCCTCCCAATGACACCAATGATGAGGCACAGTTCCTCCCAATGACACCAATGATGGGGCACAATTCCTCCCAATGACACTAATGATGGGGCACAATTCCTCCCAATGACACCAATGATGGGGCACAATTCCTCCCAATGACACCAATGTTGGAACACAATTCCTCCCAATGACACCAACAATGGGGCACAATTCTTCCCAATGACACCAACGATGGGGCACAGTTCCTCCTAATGACACCAATGATGGGGCACAGTTCCTCCCAATGACACCAACGATGGTGTCATTGGGAGGAATTGTGCCCCATCATTGGTGTCATTGGGAGGAACTGTGCCCCATCATTGGTGTCATTAGGAGAAACTGTGCCCCATCGTTGGTGTCATTGGGAAGAATTGTGCCCCATCGTTGGTATCATTGGGAGGAATTGTGCCCCAACATTGGGGCACAATTCCTCCCAGTGACACCAATGATGGGACACAATTCCTCCCAATGACACCAACGATGGGGCACAGTTCCTCCTAATGACACCAATGATGGGAGACAATTTTTCCCAATGACACCAATGAGGCACGTTTCCTTCCACTGACACTAACAGTGGGACAGAATTCCTCCCACTGGCACCAGAGATGGGGCATTGTTTTTCCTACTGTCATCGGGACCTTTTCTACTCCCACTGGCCTCAGTCCAGCCCCGCTAAAGTCTGAAAGACAATAAACTGGCCCTTTGTTTAGAAAGTTTGGAGACCCCTGATCTAAATTTCCTCTCTCACAAACACACATACTAGGGCCGATATGACACATACTAGGGCCAATAAAGACAGGAGCCAATTACCTACTAGCATGTCTTTGAAGTGTGGGAAGAAACTGGGGTACCCAGAGGAAACCCACGCAAGCACAGGGAAAACATGCAAAATTGCAATCATGTCCTAACCAAGACTTGAATCGAGGACCCCAGTGCTGCAAGGCGGAGGTGCTAACATCAAAGTCACTGTGTTTTAAAGGGATAAAAAAATATGCAGTAATGGGTATGGGTTGCAGAGGTGTACTGAAAAGGTTCAGAACTTCAAGGACCTTCAACGTCAGAGAGCTTAAGAAGACATGTGGCCACTCAATGAAATTGGAGGAGAAGTAGTTTAATCTTAAGCTGTGTAAGGGGGTTCCTTACTGTTGGAGAGGTAAGGATGTGGAACTCCCTTCCACAATCAGTGGTGTCAGTATGAAGTGTCGATAGTTTCAAAAAACTATTAGATGGGCATCTTAATGAAAGTAAAATACAGAGATATGGGAATTGGTACTGACATGCACACACCCTCACAGATTGAACTGGTTGGATTGGTGTCTTTATTCAACCTTACCAACTATGTAACTTCAAAAGGTCTGATGTTAGATCTGGATAAAACTAAGGTAAAACAATAAAGTGGCAACTGAACACTTTTTATTAATTAAGCAAACATAAAGCACAAATAAAAAATTATGTATAGCTGCCAAACAATTATTTGGGGATTTAAAATGGTGTGGCAGCATTTATTGGCTTTCTCAATTATCAGAACCATCCGAAGAAAAAAAACTTAAAAAAAGACCCTTTTAGACCGTTTAATCAGAGTCTTTTTATTTCAGCTTTTGTTTAATCAGGTTTAGTTCCACTTTAAATGTCAAGATAGTCATCTAAACAGTTAATCTGTTTTCTAGAGCAGATACGCTTGGAGTGTGTATAAGATCTCCACCTTGATATTATTCCCAGCAGATTGGGGATATTAGATAATTTCCTTCTATTTATTGTACAACTGCACCATGTTATCTCTCTATCTCTCAAATAATTACTGAGGAAATCTACAGTATTATTATGGTGTTTTTTTTTCTTTCATTTTTTTTCCTCTTTGGGCTTGTACAATGAAAAGCCAGACACTGGTGCAATGTGTTGATGTTGCAGACAACAAAAGTTTTTTTCTCATCCTCCCATTGTGCGATAAATAACTTAGAGAGATACTTATCACGTCAAATACCTTGTCTGTGTCCATGAAGAACAAAGGAGAGCGAAACGTAGGGAGGTTATAGGAAAACCGGTAAGGAGGAGGAAAAAAAATCTCCATCTCCTAGCCACCCAGTACATCAGTCTAGAGCCTGGAGTAGAGGACGTATTAAGCTCTCCTGTTGAAGTAAGATGTTGTTTGCTAAATTATGAATGTGTGTAATTAAAATCGAGTCGCTGTTTCTATGAAAGATTTACAATGTTATTTCATCGTTTGTCATGGCTAATTAACAATATTAGATGAAGTTTTTCTTCTTCAAAGGTCTGATTTTTTTCTCATTTATTTATGTCAGAAGTGATAAACAGAGTACTTAAAAGCATCTCGGGCGGTGCGCAGAGAAAAGCAGCATGCTCGCTTAACACCTCCAAGGTTCACGGTTCGAATCCCAGCGGAGACAGGCAGCTCCGTCTCCTACAATGAATATAATTAATGGTTTCAAAGTAACCGGTTATAGGCCTTTATTTTATTATTTTATAGGATGAAGTCGTAGTTTTAGGATGTTCGGGGTGGGGGGGGAAGCAAATGTAGGGCAAAAAGCACAGCTTGGCTGTACTTTACCTGGGTTATTAATATTTATGTGTACCTTAAAGCTCTGTTCTTATTCACTCACTAATCATTCATTCTCCATGTCCTAAGTTCGCTCTTTGGTTTCTCTATTTTAGAATATTAAGCCATCCCCTTTTACTTTGAAATGGTAGTTTTCCTAAGTGTTAACTTTTGCCTGTTCATGGATAACCTCTGATGGAGCCTGACGGTTCCTGGAAATACAGAAGGGTCCTGTTGGTGGGCCATTGACTATGATTGCATATACATGTCAGAGATCCTTCTCCAGTCAGAATCTGTTCTCTGTTTTATATTGATCATGAGATACTCTGGTTCTTAAACTGGATCTAAACCTAAGATGGGTGTTAAATGTGAATTCATTACCCAGTCCTGACCAAATAGGATGGATTGGGCAACATAATTGGCAAGTGTGCATTGATGCATTTTGAGTTTCTTACAAAATTTGGTAAATGGCTTCTCTACCAATTGCATCTATTAAGATATTGATAAGTTGCTAATAAACGTTTTGCCACCTGTTTAGATTGTCTACATAACTGTTATATATTTCAAATTACTTATAAAGACAGCTTGACAACAAAATGTTTTCTTGTATGTCATTTTTGAAGCTTATTGGTGTCAGTAAGGTACACCTGCTTACAGTTTTTATATAAAAAGTCTAATTTCAAGGACTTCATTAAGTGGAGAGCTACGTTTAAGTGGACTAGCACAGATAGCACGGTCATCTGGGTAAACTTTGACACCCATTGGGTAGCCATAAACAATTACTTTTAAATAGATTACAAATACAGACAGGCAGAGATTATTAATTCAATGTATGATTATATATTGTAATTTTTTTTTTTTAAGTAACGGTTAATGAGTGCCCGAAGGAAACCCACAGTCACTAAAGTTAACCATGGAGTGATGTTGTGATAGACCTGTGTATGTGTGTATGTGTATAGATCGTGAGCACCTTTCACTCAGAAAATGTTTGACAGGTCATCCCTCTTAGGCTTGTTTACAAAAAAAAAAAAGGTGTGGGCGCGGTAGCAAACATTTAATTGATGCACAGTGCAGTCCAGTCACAAATATTCAATTCTCAATCTCAATGTTTTGATCAGCTGCTCTATGTTGCTCTGCTTTGTACATAACCATTGCTCTGTGCCCTGTCTTATTGAGAAATCCTGTATACATTTATTTCTTTGCATGCCAACTTTTTTAAGAACATTGTTTTCATCAGCTTGTTGCACACCACCTGTTTTAAACTACTACAGTTCCCAAAGTCATCTCTTCTAATTGACTGGTCCTCAACTAATAGCTGCCCATGATGGAAGCTTTAATTTAATGACAGCTGGGGTGCCAAAGGTTTTCTACCCCTAGCCAAGAAGCACAAAATAATCGAGCTTAGAAAAGTCTACACTCTACAGAATGCCTAACCTAGATAAACAGAAACAGTTTCAATTGAAGGTCCCCCGTTGATCAGAGGATCTCTTCAGCAGCATGCAGAATGCGGACCTCTCACATGTTTAATTCTTTGCTTCCTTTCATTACAGCAGCAGCAGCAAGTGGCTACGCAGCAGTTGGCTTTTCAGCAACAGCTTCTACAAATGCAGCAGCTGCAGCAGCAGCACCTTCTGACACTGCAGCGTCAAGGTCTCCTTTCAATCCAGCCGGGGCAGCCCGCCCTTCCACTGCAACCTCTCGCCCAAGGTTTGTACAAACACAGCTCTTTGATTTTCTGCTTTGAGCCATTGTGTTCTGTAAGATACAGTTTGAAGCAGCATAGTAATGTGATATGTATTGTAAGCAGTAAAATTAATAGTAGATCCAGCAATATGGTAAGATGCGCATTCATAAAATTGCCGTTGACATACATATATATTTTTATAACAATTGGGGCATGAAAACTTACAATTGTACTTCACCACTGTGATTGTTTATGCACTGAGCCAAAACCACACTTGATGGCACATGAATGATCAGCTTGGAAATTCCAGTGTAGTGTAGTCAATGGATTTTTCTCCAAGAATGATTGGCACAAGATGAATGCTGTGATGTGAAGGGGTCCATAGCCATTGCAATAATCCAGTGCCTCTGGAAGCTTTCAGTTATGAATGAAGGTATATCGGTATAAAGAATGGATTTCAATTATGTGTCCCTAATTCCACATTTATTCCTCTCCCCATGCCTACATATGGCAGATCTTTGATGTAGCAGTAATGGCACAGATGAATATAGCTGCTATGGCACATGGATAAAAACTTTTGCACTAATGGCAATAATAGTGGTGACATAACCATTTGGATATGTGACAGCATCATACTAGTAGTAGATGATGAAATTAGTGGCTATAGCACTGATTATCACTGTGGCACTAACATACATCTTCACTTAAAAAAGACCTATACTATGAAATCTGTGCACACAGAAAATTGAAATCAAGGGTTAGGTTAATGCTATTGCTTGTAGGCTCCCTGAAGCTGATCCTGAGACTTGATTGGAGATCTGATGAACTGTTGCCTGTTGGCGTAGTGATTAAAAAAAAAGCAGCAGGACAGGTGAAGAAAGCATAAATCTACAGAATGGCTAAAGAAGGAGCAGGGAGATCTTTGCACTACAGCACCTCCAGGTACAGCTTTCTCTCCAGCAAACCCTCAGAAGAACAATGAACAGCACAGGAGTAATATTACCAACTTTCAGTCCACATATTGTGAGAATAGCAGTCACCAGAGTTAGGAGTGGATGGGATATGTCTTAGATTATCTCAAACTGGAAATATGCAGACTCCAGGCATAGGAGTGTCTAGGCACAGTTACATCTCACAAAGCGCACCCTAACTTCTCTGGAGAAATTCAAGACAAAGGGTAGATTTATCAGGGTACTGCTTGGCTGCAATAAATTTTCTAGTTATTCCTTAATAAATTACAAATCTTTACTTTTGAGGAATAGGTCCACTTTTTCAATTACTGCGGCACATTCCATCCTTCCCTGCAGCTCTGCGGAGATGGGTCACTGTAGCAATTAAAAGAATACATTTGCACCTGGTTATCCCTACTGTTACACAAATGAGAATAATTACTATATCACTGAAAAAAATGATCATTAGGGTAGGTCTCTTTCCTTCAGAACAATGTCAGGACTTTATAAATGGATTGATTGGTTAAATACATTTTAAGCCTGCCAAAATGGTAGCCTTATTGTTTGCACAATAAGTGCAGTGGTGGCGACATTCCATGCATTAAAAGCTGAGGCAGAGAAATAACTTAGATTACGGAACAGTTGTCTTGTCCCCGATGATCATTAGAAGTCAGCTGCAACAGTGAGAGCGTTTGGGGCCTCTGATGCGTCACAAATTACAGCTGCTTGAAAGGTAATAAGCAGTGTGTCACTGTAGTGGGTAATTTAGTTGTAAATACATTTATCGATTTGCTTTCTGCTATAATGTGCCTATAGATGAATGAGCTTGTAAGGGTATTTGTTGTGCAAGGCAGGGAATTATGCTGTGTGTATCCAGACGTAAAATAGATTGCATCTAATGCCTTACAATATAGGCCTTAATGCTTATTATTTTGAGATCAGATTCTAAAACTAGACCCTGGATCACTGTATTTAAAACTGTTTCCAGCACTTTTAGGGCAACATTGTGTTTTATATAAAACCACAGCTTAGGACTGACTGCTTGCAGCCAAGGTGGGAGTCAGAGCAAAAAAAGCCAATAAAGAGCAGTACCAGCTCTCTTTTCCCAGCAGCCAGGGATTATGAGAAATAACACAATGTTAGCTTCCAAGGTTCAGTCATGGTATACTTCTGCAGGATAGTCATGATCATTTTCACTTTATCTCTTGCTCAGCTGTAGTGCTTTTGCTTATGTGAGGCATTATCAGTTAAATGTCTAGATGTTATATCGTGGTTTCTCAACCAAGGTTCCATGGAACCCTAGGGTTCCTCCAGTGCTTGCTAGAGGTTCCCTGAGCAATTAGCAATTTCTGCCTCTCAGATAAGTTCCCACTGACATCATTGATCTTTTTAGCTGTCTGTAAGGGGTAGTTCTTCCCAATGACCACAAATGTAAGGAGCATTCTTCCCACTGACCATCACACTAATGTATCATGAGTTATGTGTGTGGACCTTAGCAGTGGAATCTACAAGAGATACTGATAGGTGGTTTAATTATCCAGCATCTACCAAAAATAAAATATTAATTTTGTGCATGCTGGTTCTTAAAGTGTATTCCCACTTTTGCAGTCGAATTTGAGAAAAAAACCCCTATATGTTTATGCTCCCATTCACACAGAATGCCTAAAATCTTACTTTCTTAGATGTTTCTAAGGAGAACCTGCCATGGCTAATTAAAACAATTTCTGAACAGTCTGTCAGTGTCTTTTTCTCCAAACTGAGCTATATGCCTCATTAACATACAATGCAGGAGGTTTCTACATTTTTAACTCTTTGTTAGGATAGTGTTTAAATCTAGTTTACAGCTTGTAATTAAGACCTGTGAACACAGTACAAACAGGGTTCATTTCATTAAACATTACTCCACAGCCCTCTCCTAAACATCACAAAGCAGGGAGAACTTGTAAGATTTTTGTAAGCAAGTAAAAGCACTTAAAAAGGTAACCAGCAATTTTTTAATATTTTTCAGAAGTGATTGTAAAGGTTCCGCTTTAGTTTTAAAAAACAACAAACAAGTTACACTTACCTGCACTATGTATCGTATGTACTCTCCAGCGCCTCAGGATATGCACAGCCAAAAGGGAAGCCAAGGGTACCAGGACAACGACAACCAAAGGAAATGTTCCAGGGGTGCAGCCCTCCTCAGACGGGGAAATCAGCCACTGGATAGAGAGAAAACAGGTGGCGCACACACCTAGTGCATTATCCAAGGTTTATTGTAGGAATGAGATAATAAAAACATACTCACAGACGAAGCATGTATCTAAAAAGCATAGAAAAATGACAATGGCCACAACGGCGGGCAAGGTGTTCTCACTGTCAGTGCGGTCACTTTGCAATGGTTCTGCACAGAGCAGCCCCAATCCTTTGAAGTCCCTCGCTGGCACACCTGGTTCCTCCTACCTACTGAGTACCCCCATAGCAAGCCGCTTGCTACAGGGGCACTCATGCAGGCTCAATCCTGAGAAGCATTGTATGCATCTATTGACACACATAGTGTGACTCAGCCCCACCCCCTCACTCCCTCGTCACTGGTTTTAATTGACAGCAGCAGGAGTCAATGGATCCTGCTGGTCTCACTGAGTCCAGTGAAAAGGGAGAGAGAGAGCAGCGCCGCTGCTCTCAAGCACAGTGCTAGATCAATATCAGGCACAGGTAAGTATTTAGGGGAGTGGGGGGGGGGGGGCTGCACACAAAATGTTTCTTACCTTAATGCAGAGAATGCGTTAACATAAAAAGCCTTTAGCCTTTACAACCACTTTAAGCTATACAATGCTAAAGGGAACAAATATAAAGTAGGTTTTATCCCAATTTGGCTGCAAACGTGGAAATACACTTGTTAAGAGCAAGTTGTTGAGTTTAAAAGGCCTGCTATTTTACAAATCTGGCCATATACTTCTGCACAGTGAGGATCATGTTGCATTCATCCTAACACCTCTTCTACCATCCCACTGGTTTGATAACAGGGAGAAGTCAACAGGCTGCAGGAGTTGTCTGTGACCCATATCCAGCACAATAATCAGGCCAACTTTAATCATATTTAGTATGTTAGGAAGGGGAGGAAACCTTCTCAGTCTTTCAGTGCTGACCCTTATCTAGGGATAAATTAGCCCTTTGTCCTCCTGCAGATCTCCAGCTGCTAAGGGAATACAATTTCCAGCAGCAGAACTTGCCAGAGGCTTCACCTGAACAGCTTGGGTTGCCACATTCTATTACGTAGTACTGTGTTCATTTAACAAGGTTCTGCTGAGAGCAGTATACAAAAACCAGTAACCCTTGGCTTCCAGTGAGGTCCCACTTTTCATCTCAGAGCTGTCAGGAAAATAAAAGTTGTGTTTTGATTGGTTGCTCTAGATGGCTACTATTTACCCATACATGACCATGATTTGTAGATTCAAGTATATCTAAACCCAAGATCAAAATGTAATATTTTGCAGCTTACTAGCTAATCTGTAGATGTGGTGGTTGCATTTTTTCTTTATTTCAGGCTAAATACATTTTATTTAGATACAGAAAATCCTGTTGATTCTGGTAAAAATGAGTCTTTGTTACTTCCTGTGTACTGAACTGAAAATTCAGGCAATATTATCTGCGTTCCCAGCTATATATTCAATTGAGGTGTTCATAGCCCAAAGTGAGCAGCCTTGGCTGACAAAGCTACTCCTTATTAGAGACAGATAAATACAGTGTAGTGAGCAAGTGTTGTCACCATAGGACAGGAGGTGTGTTACTGGCAGGATCACCAGGTGAAAATAAATGAAAAAATGCCTGAAAAAAAGAAAACTAATTTAGCCACTGCATTTATAAACTGTTAAGCGGCCAAATATTACATGTTTGTTTTTGGGTTTGGATACATTTTGACATTATCTGGCACAGTGCATTTATTTACTCTCCATTATATAACTAGGAGCGTGCACTTGTTCTCCTATTTCCGAGATCACTCTGTCACTAACAGCTCTGGTTTCTGGCTAGCAATCAGGGAACCAGTCAGTGTTATTCCCAATCACAGTCATGGAACCAATTGGTGTTATTCC